TGCAGATCCCTGTGCTGATCCCTGATGTAACTGTGGGCACTCGGCCTTCCGATGGCCAGTCTGGTTGCAATGAAAGCAAACCATAAACCCCTTGGGGCAATCCTTGGCGATATGCCCATCCTTGCCACATTTGTAGCAAGCACCTGATCGACAGACCCCATCATGTCCCTTTTCGCACTTCCCACAAGTGCGGCCCTTCTGACCTCCAGATCTCGTGTCAGCGGACTTTGCCCGCTTGGTTGCCGGCTGAGACTGTGTCGGCCACCGATCCATCCTCTGAGACTCGGCCTCCTCCCTGGCCTGAGTCACCAACTCAATCTCCCTCTTCCGGGCATTTCCCTGGAGCTCAGCAAATGTCCGGTAAGTCGAGTTCGACACGAACTCCCGAATATCCCTCCTCAAAACGCCCAAATATCGGCTCATGCCTGCCTGCTCAGTAGACACCTGCTCAGGGCAGAACATCGCCCTCTCATGAAACTTCCTGGTAACCACAGTAACAGAATTAGTACCCTGCTTGAGGGTCAAGAACTCCTGAACCAACCATTCCCTCTCCACCGGGGGAATATACTGGTCTCTGAACATAGCGGTGAACCTCTCCCAGGTCACCTCTGAAATCTCTGCAAGGGTGAAGCTCGCCGTCACGAACTTCCACCAGTCCTTCGCTCCCAAGAGAAGCTGGTTCAGCGCGAACCGTACCCTCAGATGCTCTGGACATGAACACATGTAGAAGCATCCCTCGATATCAGAAATCCATCTCATCGCAGCGATCGGATCCTGCGTCCCATCAAACTCTGGTGGCTTCGTGTTGCTGAACTCCCGAAACAACAACGAGTCACCTCCCTGAGGCCTGGCAGCAGCCACAGCTGTAGTAGCTGTAGCAGCCGCAGCCTTAGTCACCGCTGCATACCACTCATCAAAAGTCTCAATCAATGTGGTCTTGATAGACCCAAACATCTCCGGAATCTCGGCTCGAATCGCCGCTGCCACCTCATCGTGGATCATCTGACGAACCTCCTCATCACTCACGCCGCTCGTCTCAGGTCTATGGCGTGTCCCAACCATGATGTCTCTGAAATACAACATAATAATATCAGAGACTCGATCGAGCATACTCGCGCTCGATAACTCAACCCTACTTGTTCCCTAGTACCATAAGGATTCTTACTTGGACTGTGCACTGATCCGGTGTCTTCAGTAGTACGGGCCCTATACTACCGTCCACACCGCATCAATGTTCACCCCAAGTCCTCCTCCTAGGATCCCAGATCACAAGTACTCTATATCTCACTGGCATAGGCTACCCTTCGGTAGACCTCTCATCAGCTCCTCACTGCTACCTACTCGCTCTCAAGCATCACATAGCAGCAAAATCCTTCCTAGGCTAAGGCATCACAAAATCAGGCCACTCTAGTCCTAATATGAATACCTAGCCAACTCTAGCATGCATATCATATCATAACATATCTCATAACACATAATGTAAGGGTATTTTGGGAAATCGCCGTTCAGGCGCTGGCTGATCGTACACACTGCTTCCTTCTGCCTTTCTCAAAATCTTTTACTCTCTTAGAAAAATTGTTTATCTTATGAAAAACTTTCTCAAATCCTCAGTTTGAGTTCAGATTCATCCGAAGATGCACCCGAATCCCTCTAACCAAGGCTCTGATACCAACTTGTAACAACGTAAATTTTCAAAACAATTTTTCATTTTTAAATCATACTTTCAATAACACGATAATCACAAAAACATAATGTATCCACTGTGTCATAACAAAACATGTCCCAGAATCTCAATAACATAAACTCCATAAGTGTGTACGGATCATGCCGGCGCCTTCCCTCGATCCTCGCTAGTACCTGAAACACATAACATAACAACTGTAAGCATAAATCCTTAGTGAGTTCCCCAAGATACCACATACAACACATACGCCTTTCCAGGCCATAACTCTGTAGGATCTTCCGATCCATGTGTATCAGGGGACTTCCGTCCCGAATCCCGGTAGACCTTCCGGTCCTACCCGTATCGACCTTCTGGTCCGTAACCTCTTGACCTTCCGGTCCATGTCATCTTGACCTTCCGGTCCATATCATCTTGACCTTCCGGTCCTTACCATACATAACATACATAGCACATACATATCACATAACCGCATATAGCACATACATCTCATAGCATAAAAGATCTTTCGGTCACACATAGGTACCCTTCCAGGTACAGTATAGTGAGAAGACTCATCTCAATGAAGTCGGATAAACTCTCGTGCTCAACGTCCCGACCTAGCCTCCTCCTATTATTCAAATAACATTCCCGATCAATATTCTCTCATAGTCTCATCTCTACAGATTGGGTAGAAGGCCATTCTACCCCTCTCTGAACTCTCTTGAATCAGTCTTGACCAGAACCCTAAAGTCAACGGAAGTCAACGAAAGTCAACGGTCAAACTTTGACCCGACTCGTCGAGTGCACAAGGGTGACTCGACGAGTCCATGCGGGTTCTCTGAATCCTTGTAGCCTCTCTTGGCTCGTCGAGTCATCGTCCCACTCGACGGGTTACACCTATCACGAATCGCGGGGCAACCCCGACTCGACTCGTCGAGTCCCATTATGGACTCGGCGAGTTGCATCCATAGCAACACTGAAATGACCTTCTGAGGTCAGATCTACTTCTCCAACCTATAGATCTGGCCTTCCCAACCACTATAATCACGTAAAGGTCCGACCTTTACACTCATGCAATGTCCAATAAGCTCCTTTGGGTGAAATAACATCTACAATTGCAACCTAGGGTCATATCTCTAATGGAGTAGCAAAAAGCAAGGTAGATAGGACTCTCTGGACCTCTTAAGGTCCAGATCTAAGAAGAACTCCACCTTGGGACCTCACATACTTCGAATCCAAGCCAAAGAAGGCATAAGAAAAGCCTAGATTCAAATAGATCACCAAATACATGAGATGGAGCACATATTAGTACCTCTAGCAGCCTCTTCTGATCAAATGGGTGATAGATCTGAGCTCCTCAATCTTCCTTGTTTGTCCTCCTTCCATCTTTCTTGCAAAATCACACTTGGAATGATGAATTAGCCCTCCTCTTGCACTACAAGCTTTCTCTCTGCTCTCTAGGGTTTCTCAGGGGTGCATTGGCCGCAAATGGAGGCCATAAAAGCCTTTAAATAGGGCACAGGCCGCGAGAATTAAGGTTTCACTTTACAGCGCGGACTCGCCGAGTCCACGCATCGACTCGTCGAGTCCTTCATTAAATCGGACAAGAAATACGCGCTCCTACTCGGCGAGTCTGAGCGCCTACTCACCGAGTCCCTTCCTAACACTCAAGATAAATACTTAAAATAAGATACCTGGGAATCCGGATGTTACACATGTTCGTGGAATCAACAACGTATGACGTGTCCATGTCAAAATTATGTTCATATATATAATTTATGGGTGGTTCCTCTGTTTCTCCATGCTTATGCCAATTCGTGTATGTTTGATCAATTCCATTCCGGAATAGGTGATCATCTACCACATCCACCGAATGAGATATGTGGTTTACACATTTGACACATGGACATGGAATTCTTATCTTTTTTTTGGTATCTATAGGATCCATATTTTTAGAAATCTTGTAATTGTGTACTGTATATTTCAAAAATTCTGCAACACCCTTTACATACGTTTCTGATGTTCTGTAGGCTCCCATCCAAGACTTATCCATATTCAGTTTATAACAGCATCAACAAGCAATATATGTTTCCTGTTCATTGAAGCATTTTAACAAACAGTTGGTGTGCATAAACGAAAAAGATCACATTACAATTAAATCCAATAACTGGAAACCAAATACTTGTTAATTGAAGAATATATAATGATACATGACCAAACGAAATAGCAAAGATTAATATTCTGAAGGTAATTATTTTTTATGTCCCTGTATAAATTAATGTAGTATGTGTACCTGTATGAATTTCATGTTGAAGTATCAATTCTTGGTTGAAGTATAAACGTAGTTGCAATACTTTTGTAGTAAGCAGAGAATGATTCGATGGGAATGCATATTTTCTAAAAATTCATATCTACGTAATAGGTGTGGATGATCAACGATATATCGAGAAAATACAAAAGAATAGAAAAAAAAATTGTTCCTAATGGGGTTTGAACTCATGGCCATCACAAAATATACCTTTAACTACATTTACACTTACCTACTGGGGTGATTGGTTGTTTGTAAGTTATTAGTTTACGAAAAAGACATAACAATAAACTAAAAGAGAAACATTTGACGAAAATACCCCTGCTTCCTCTAGAACTGCTCTAAGACAAACACATTTACCATCAATCATACTTTCCTCATTTGATACAATATACGTAATTGTGGTTGCACATTGTTTTTAATTAGCCTTCACAATTGGAAATAAAAACAAATGCCAAAAATACCCCTGAATCTTCTCACACTCTTATTGTTTAATTAATTGTAGTTATGCACATCATACATGTATCCAAGATTAACTTATTTTTTTTTCTATCAATACTATGATGATGCATACCCTAAGATGATGTTTCCTTTTTCTTTTCATTATATATACTAAATGAGCATTATACCCTTATATATCAAACACAGTTTCAATGGGAAATTATAACAATTTCTTTGTTTTATGATAATAACAAATAATTGACGGATGTACCCCTGCTTTATCATAATCGCCATATGTTGATAACAAACATGGGAAAAACTAACTAATCTAACCAATACTACCTCTAAAGTGGAAATAAGTTGAAAAGTACATTCCTTTTTTTACAAATCAATGCAGCAAAACAGGGACAATACTGACTCAGTTATAAGTATGAAACACAATAAAAATAACAATATAAAATTATAATTATAATTACTTCCCATTTTGCCCCTAAGACAGTTATAATCAAAACAACATCATATTGCTTACAAAAAAGAGTTTCATATGTACTCTGTATTAAACACAAAATGGAGTACAACATAGGTCGCCTACACTACGTTTTTCCATGCTATCACATTCTCCTTCGCCATGTCCATTGCATCTTCCATTTTTTCTCTTGGAATGGTCATGTTTAGCATATGCCTGATGTATGCTATTCCATCATCAACTGTTGCCATTGGGTGTTCTGTTACAAACAGATGAATAAGCTTCTCAACTCTTTTGGATGGTGAGTTCATCAAAAAGTGGGGGAAATTGATTGGAACAAATACAGGCCTATGTTCAACATACATATGTTCAATCACTCGGAATTGGTGTGCCCTAACGATCATCTTGAAAGTTCCCAAACAATCATCATTCATAATTGGAACCATTGACAACCCACAGTTTTCTTCAGTTGGCATATGATACCAGTTACCCATAGTTGTATACCCCAAGCTTTTCGAAAAATGACCAAGCATCTCCATGTTGAGCAAATCGATGTTGACACATGAAATAAAGTTAACTTATGTCATTTGATACGACTTACCTGGATAGTCTGTAAAAAACCCGCCATGTATAACTCCAATGGGGAATCTCTTATCGTTTGCTTTCCCGTACTCTACTAATGGTGTGTTTTTTGGTGGTTCACTGCTTACACTCCAAAGTTGGAACCTCAGATTTTCCCATGGATCAGCATTCATCTTTGTTTCCATTGATCGTCGGAGTTGTTTTCACAGAGGAGGAGTAAATAATCGAAGATATCGTATGTTGGTAATGAAGATGTAAGTATGACGATTTTGATATAAGGGGAGGCTTTAAATGGATCATCATTAGGAGCTGAAGGGACATCGACGCAGGCCATCACTTCCGATTAATAGTAGGCTACAGGGGAGGTGCAATTTGAACGACGGCTGTGATAATGATTATCGATATTGTGTTATACATTAATATATTATTTACATTAATATATATAATATTAATTAAGTGTAACATCAATACTTGCTATGTTTTTATTATTACCATACAAAATATAAATTTATATATAAATTAATTATAAATATATAAAATCATTTTTTAATTAATATGGGTATGGGTTGCAGGTGGTCGGGTGTTGGTACGGGTTGACCATCCTTAGGTCATGTAGGGGTGTTGGTAATGGTTTGGGACCAAAATGGGTTTATAATATGGGTATGGGTTGCAGGTGGTCGGGTGTTGGTACGGGTTGACCATCCTTAGGTCATGTAGGGGTGTTGGTAATGGTTTGGGACCAAAATGGGTTTATAATATGGGTATGGGTTGCAGGTGGTCGGGCGTTGGTACGGGTTGACCATCCTTAGGACATGTAGGGGTGTTGGTAATGGTTTGGGACCAAAATGGGTTTATAATATGGGTATGGGTTGCAGGTGGTCGGGTGTTGGTAATGGTTGACCATCCTAGGTCATGTAGGGGTGTTGGTAATGGTTTGGGACCAAAATGGGTATCTAATATGGGTATGGGTTGCAGGTGGTCGGGTATTGGTATGGTTTGAGCATCCTTAGGACATGTAGGGGTGTTGGTAATGGTTTGGGACCAAAATGGGTTTACAATATGGGTATGGGTTGCAGGTGGTCGGGTGTTGGTAATGGTTGACCATCCTTACGTCATGTAGGGGTGTTGGTAATGGTTTGGGACCAACATGGGTTTATAATATGGGTACGGGTTGTAGGTGGTCGGGTGTTGGTAATGGTTGACCATCCTTAGGTCATGTAGGGGTGTTGGTAATGGTTGACCATCCTTAGGTCATGTAGGGGTGTTGGTAATGGTTTGGGACCAAAATAGGTTTATAATATGGGTATGGGTTGCAGGTGGTCGGGTGTTGGTACGGGTTGACCATCCTTAGGACATGTAGGGGTGTTGGTAATGGTTTGGGACCAAAATGGGTTTATAATATGGGTATGGGTTGCAGGTGGTCGGGTGTTGGTAATGGTTGACCATCCTTAGGTCATGTAGGGGTGTTGGTAATGGTTTGGGACCAACATGGGTTTATAATATGGGTACGGGTTGCAGGTGGTCGGGTGTTGGTAATGGTTGACCATCCTTAGGTCATGTAGGGGTGTTGGTAATGGTTGACCATCCTTAGGTCATGTAGGGGTGTTGGTAATGGTTTGGGACCAACATGGGTTTATAATATGGGTATGGGTTGCAGGTGGTCGGGTGTTGGTAATGGTTGACCATCCTTAGGACATGTAGGGGTGTTGGTAATGGTTTGGGACCCAAATGGGTTTCTAATATGGGTACGGGTTTAGGACCGAAATGGGTTTATAGTAGGTGTATGGATTTTTTTCTTACTTAATATAAAATAAAATAAAAAATCTTAACAAAGTGTTCACACGGAAAAATTAGTAGGCTAACTAGACCTTATTCTTATTTTCGTTTTATTCTACTATTATCCCATTGTATATACATAATTAAATGCTAAATATTTTTCATTTCCAATAGTGATATAGTTGTATCCTAACGGAAAATTGTTAATTTACAAGGACCAAAGTTGTAGCATTTCTATTTATATCTAATAACTCGTAATAATGTTTCAAAAGCCAGAACATGTTTCCAAACCACGATTTACGCTTCTCATCGTGTGAGTTCACTATCAGATCAAAATTTGGAAATAATTTGAATTCGTCAATCAAAATTAAGCAAATATAATGGGAGGCAAACATTTTTTCCATTTTGTTTGGGCTCCAAATCAACGCGGGAAGTATTCATCTATCTCACCGCCAAAACTATGAAGATCAATCCATCAGATGAAGGAAAATCCGATAAACTTGGTAACCACCCTCAAATTAGGACGTACTAACAATGTAGTATTTAAAAGAGTTTGATTGTTTCAACCATTGTATGGTTTTTCTCTAGGTTATATCGATCCCAGTTGGATTATATTTCAGTTCATCATTCAACAACATTCATCAACGTATTTCTACTGTAAGTATATTCTCTGTATATATGGTGTTAATGTTATTGATTGTATTGATTAGGGGATTATACATAAAGCATAAATTTTTTGATTCTTCATATTATTGTGCTTGTTGCACACCAAATGTTCGATGAAATGTGTATGTGAAATTTTGTATGTAATATAAGTTAGTCATACTTTTTTATTAAACATATAAATAATCAAACTTAATTCATATGTTTCATGTCAACAGAAGAATCATGGAGGTGAACAAGGAACAACATAAGGATATGCCTGACTATGATATGGAATATGAGCAAGATGATGGAACCTAATTTTATGAATCAGACACAGAAGATGGTGAAAATAATGACATTGAGTACAATAGCCATTCAGATTTGGAAGAAGAAATGCAAAGCAACGTTCCTACAAGGTCACCTAGGAAGAGGGGCCTGACTCGATTGCCAAAGCTGAAGACCGAGTATGTCAATTCTGGTGGTAGAAAAAAACGTGTCAAGTTTGATGAATTCGGTAAGTTTACTGGGAAGAATAATGCAGTGTTTGTTAGTTGTTTGGGAGATCTTGTCCGTGAGAAGGTGGGATTAAGTGCTCTTTGCTGGAAGAAAGTAAAACCGGAAGTGAAGGACAAACTTTGGGAAGAGATTACAGTAAATATTTTTTTCACTTTTTTTAACTGCATCTCATATTTTATTTACAAATCATGTATTAAATACTAACAAATTCATTATTGTTTCATTTTAGCGCTATTTTGAAGTTCATGAAACTAGAAAACAATTTGTGATGAATAGGCTTGGTATCCTTCTACGAAACTTTAGAAGGAAATTGTATGCAGCTTACATCAAGCCACATCTGGGAAATTCCAAAAAGCTTGGAGAAATCCTTGTTCGATATCGTGCAATAATTACTGAAAAAGATGATTGGAACAAATTCGTGAAATATACGCAATCTAAAGAGTTTAATGTTACAACTTTTTCCCAAAACTTCTTCATTTATTAAATCATTAAATTACCAAAAAGTGCTTGACAAATTTTTTTTTTTGACAGGTTGTGTCACAAAAGACAGTCAAAGCGCGAAAGATGTCAAAGTACGCTCATCAGATGGGACGAGGGGGGTATACTACTCTTAGGAGGAAGTTGGTAAGCTTTGTTTTTAGCTATACGATCCATTATATTACCTTCATAGTATTCTACTTAACAGAATTTCACTTTATATTGTTTACAATTTAATTTTTTTTATCAAGATTGAAGAGAAAGTGATTTCAAAGGAAGAAATGCCCTCAAGGTCAATTCTGTGGTGTAAATGACGTGAAAGTAAATGAGTATTTAAGGATGAAGATGTTAAAGTCATGGCGGATAAACTAGTAACTTCAATAAACCTTTTTATTACTATTACTATAAATATTTTAATCAGTTTTATTAGGACAATAATTATTAATATTTTGTGTGCTAGATGGAACAAGTAAAGCAGATAAAAGAAGGACAAGTTAATGTTGAACCAGGCACGGATGCCATGACCTTAGTTTTTGGCAAGGAAAAGGGAGGATTTTTAAAGGGTGTCGGCACAGGAGTCACTTACAATAGATATTTCAATGTTCCTCGCAGCAAAGGATCATCTAAGGAAGAAATTAAAGATCTTAAAGTTGCTCTGCATAATGGAAAAGTTGAGCTTGAGAAAAAAGATGCTGAACTCAAGGCTTTGTCTACAAAGGTTAATGAACAAGATCAAACACTAAAGCTAGTTTTGGCTCATCTTAATGCAAAAGGAGCTGACTTTCAAAATCTGTCTCATACTGTTGTAAGTAATATTATTAACAACATGTATTTTCAATGTTACTTGTAAATTGAATTTTTTTAGACATTTTCCATGTTTCTTTATATTTGCTAGGGTATTTCAAGTGACAAGATTGTTGAAAGTAGTGAAACAACTCCTGTTAGTCTCAAAACCAAGCAACCATCAGAACCTGTAACACCAGTATATTATCATTTTATAAGATAATCATTGATATACTTTTTTTGGTACTAAGGTCTGTTTTTTCACTTGGGACTTTAACTTATTTAGGTTATTGCAAAACCCACCAAGAAACAAGTTCAAACCAACTCTACAACTGCAACTCCCGATACACAATTGATTTCCATGAAATCTGCAACAGTAGTATATACTTACTTTACAGTTTTCAACACTTTTAATTTATCTTTTATATTAAAATATAATTTTACATATATGTCTTAAACCTTTATATTAGGCAAATACAAAACCCACCAGAAAAGCTGTTGACTCTAAGACTGCCACTATCAATCCTGACATACCAACAGTTTCACCAAATAAACCCCTTCACCAGGTAAGTGTTTTTTACATGTTGAATATACATTTCTGTCTTTTTTTTTAGATTCTAATATTACTTATCAAATTAGCCAATCAAGTGTACTCTATCACATCCGTATAAAAGGAACATTTGTTGCTTGTGGTACCATTCACTTATCATCAGAAAGACAATTCATTCATGGAGTTCCTCTACAAGATGATTGCTATAAAGTTTCCATTGATGAAGTGGTAATAAAACAAGCATTTCTGCCCCATAAAACTGGAGAATTCACATTAGTTGAGGATGCATATAAAAGTTTTGTTCCATGGCCAAAATACCTTGTGCAACACGAGTCAAAGGTTTGTTTAATTATGTTCACTACGTTCTGCATTACACTTTATTTTCTTCATAAAGTAGTATACTAAGGTTTTGATGAACTCAATTTTTTTTGCTTCAAT